CTCATCACCACCCCCACACCAGAACCCTTCATCCCCACGCCCACCAAACACACCAAACCAAAAACCCACGCCCACACACACACACACACACACCCCAAAACACCAGAACCATCATCACCACGCCCATACACACCAGAAACCATCGCCACCAGCCCCCACACCATCACACCCACACACCAGAACCATCATCACCCCCACACCAGAAACCCTTCACCACCACGCCCACACACACACACACACACCAGAACCTTCATCACCACGCCCCGCACACCACCACCACCACGCCCCCCCCCCACACACACACACACACACACACCAGAACCATCATCACGACCCCCACACCAGAACCATCATCACGCCCACACACACACCAGAACCATCACCACCACGCCCACACACACCAGAACAATCAACACCACGCCCACACACACACCAGAACCATCACCACCACGCCCACACACACACACACACACACCACACACCAGAGCCAAATTATCACCACGCCCACACCAGAACCATCACCCCCACGCCCAACACACCAGAACTATCACCACGACGCCCCACACAACACACACACACACAAAACCAGAACCATCACCACCACGCCCACCCCACACCAGAAACCATCACCACCCCCACAAAACCAGAACCATCACCACCACGCTCACACATACACCGAACCATCACCACCACGCCCAACACACCAAAACCATCCCACCACGCCCACACACCAGAAAACCATCATCAAAACCCACACACACCACACCAGAACCACCACCACCAACCCCACACACACCAAAAACCATCCCCACCACGCCCACACACCACCAGAACCATCATCACCAGGGCCCACACCAGAACCATCACCACCACCCCACACACACGCCAGAACCATCACCCCCACGCCCACACACCACACACACACCGAACCATCATCACCACCCCCACAACCAAAAACCTTCCCCCACCACGCCCACACACACACACACCAAAACCATCACCACGCCCAAAACACACCACCACCACCACCCCACACACACCCCCACCACGCGCACAACACACAACACACACACCACAACACACAACACACACACTCACACACACACCCCCAACACACCAGAACCATCATCACGCCCACACCAGAACCATCACCACCACCCCCCCACACACACCAAAAACCATTAAACCCACGCCCCCACACCCCCAGAACCATCATCACGCCCACACACACACACCAGAACCATCACCACCACGCCCACACACAACCAGAACAATCACCACCACGCCCAAAACACACACCAGAACGACCCACCACCACGCCCACACACACACAACCAGAGCCATTATCACCACGCCACCACCAGAACCGTCACCCCACGCCCACACACACCAGAACCTCACCACCACGCCCACACACACACACCAGAACCATCACCACCAGCCCACACACCCCAGAACCCATCACCACGCACACACACAGAACCATCCCCACCACGCCCATACACACCCAGAACCATCATCACCACGCCCCCACCCCACACACCAGAACCACCACCACCACGCCCCACACACAAAACACACACACACACACACCCCAACACACACACACACACACACACACACACACACACACACACCAGAACCATCACCACGCCCACACACACACCAGAATCATCATCACCAGCCCACACCAAACATACCACCACGCCCACACAAAACCACGCCCACACCCCAAACACACACACACCAAAAACCATCATCACCACGCCCACACCAGAACCCTTCACCACCACGCCCACACCAGAACCATCATCACCACGCCCACACACACACACCAGAACCATCACCACCACGCCCACACACACACCAGAACCATCATCACCCACGCCCCACACCAGAACCATCACCACCACGCCCACACACCAGAACCATCACCACCACGCCCACACACATCACCACCACCACGCCCACAAACGCCCACATACCTTCACCAGTGGTTTACATACGGTGTTTCGCGAGTTTTTCTAGCCAGTCCAGCCTGAGGCCAGACTTCTCAGGTGACTGCCTGATTGGCCAGGCTGTTGTTACCCGCAGGCTGGTCAGCTAGCCATCACAAGCCGGTTGATCAACCACCGGCTCCTCTTCACTTCCCTTCTCAACGTTTCTAGCGCTGACCCAGACTTCAGACGACGTTTTGATACCTTCTGGACCATTTACAAGTCACACTCAAGACATAATTGAACTTGATACTGGCTCAGGATGGATCGAAACGTCGTCTCAAGTTCCCTTTCTAAGTGTAGATTAGTTGTTCATTGTTCCAGCCATGTTGTTAGTTGTTCATTGTTCCAGCCATGTTGTTAGTTGTGCGTTGTTCCAGCCATGTTGTTGTTAGTTGTGAATGGTTCCAGCCATGTTGTTGTTAGTTGTGAATTGTTCCAGCCATGTTGTTGTTAGTTGTGAATTGTTCCAGCCATGTTGTTAGTTGTGAATTGTTCCAGCCATGATGTTGTTAGTTGTGCATTGTTCCAGCCATGTTGTTAGTTGTGAATTGTTCCAGCCATGATGTTAGTTGTGCATTGTTCCAGCCTTGTCGTTAGTTGTGAATTGTTCCAGCCATGTTGTTAGTTGTGCATTGTTCCAGCCATGTTATTAGTTGTGCATTGTTCCAGCCATGATGTTGTTAGTTGTGCATTGTTCCAGCCATGTTGTGCATTGTTCCAGCCATGATGTGCATTGTTCCAGCCATGATGATGTTGTGAATTGTTCCAGCCATGATGTTAGTTGTGCATTGTTCCAGCCATGTTGTTGTTAGTTGTGAATTGCTCCAGCCATGATGTTAGTTGTGAATTGTTCCAGCCATGTTGTGCGTTGTTCCGGCCATGTTGTTAGTTGTGCATTGTTCCAGCCATGATGTTGTGAATTATTCCAGCCATGATGTTAGTTGTGCATTGTTCCAGCCATGTTGTTAGTTGTGAATTGTTCCAGCCATGATGTTGTTAGTTGTGAATTGTTCAAGCCATGATGTTGTTAGTTGTGCATTGTTCCAGCCATGTTGTTGTTGTGAATTGTTCCAGCCATGATGTTAGTTGTGAATTGTTCCAGCCATGTTGTTGTTAGTTGTGCATTGTTCCAGCCATGATGTTGCTAGTTGTGAATTGTTCCAGCCATGATGTTGTGAATTGTTCCAGCCATGATGTTGTTAGTTGTGAATTGTTCCAGCCATGTTGTTGTTAGTTGTGCATTGTTCCAGCCATGATGTTGTTAGTTGTGAATTGTTCCAGCCATGATGATGTTAGTTGTGAATTGTTCCAGCCATGATGTTGTTAGTTGTGAATTGTTCCAGCTATGATGTTGTTAGCTGTGAATTGTTCCAGCCATGATGTTGTTAGTTGTGAATTGTTCCAGTCATGATGTTAGTTGTGAATTGTTCCAGCCATGATGTTGTTAGTTGTGAATTGTTCCAGCCATGATGTTGTGAATTGTTCCAGCCATGATGTTGTGAATTGTTCCAGCCATGATGTGAATTGTTCCAGCCACAGTATTGTGGGTTGTAAATGACTCCAGCCATGGCATTATGGGTTGTATTATCCTAGCATAGGTCATTGTTAAGTAAAGCCTCACCTGAGATATCCTACTATCCCCCAGGATAGTAAGTGTATTTAGGTACAGCTACACATAAATACAGTTACATATATTATCATACATAGTAACATGTGTGTAAATTACCCACCAGGATAACCCCAAAAAAGTCAAAGTGACTTATTGCCATTGTGGTCCTTGTCGAGTGCTGGGGTGTGGCTGGTGCTGTGATTGACTGGTGGTGTGGCTGACTGGTGGTGTGGCTGACTGGTGGTGTGGCTGACTGGTGGTGTGGCTGACTGGTGGTGTGACTGACTGGTGGTGTGGCTGACTGGTGGTGTGGCTGACTGGTGGTGTGGCTGACTGGTGGTGTGGCTGGTGCTGTGACTGGTGTGACTGACTGGTGGTGTGGCTGACTGGTGGTGTGGCTGGTGCTGTGACTGGTGTGACTGACTGGTGGTGTGGCTGGTGCTGTGACTGACTGGTGGTGTGGCTGGTGCTGTGACTGACTGGGGGTGTGGCTGGTGGTGTGACTGGTGGTGTGACTGACTGGTGGTGTGACTGACTGGTGGTGTGACTGACTGGTGGCGTGGCTGACTGGTGGTGTGGCTGGTGGTGTGACTGACCGGTGTGACTAACTGGTGGTGTATCAGGGTACCAATAACACCACACACACTTGCCTCAAGGAAGTACAATTCTACATTATATAGCTTGACTGATGGCTTCCTCTAGCACCTCCCCGCTCCCTCTTAACCACCCACACCACCTATTCCATCCCTGTACTCCATATTTCATATTTGTTCTATCATGCACAGTTATAGTGTTTCTTCATCCTGCAGGATGACCTAGGTTACTTGCTGCTGCTTCCTGTTATATGTATGTCATGATGAAAGTGTTTATGTTGGCTTGCCAGCAAACTGGTTGGCTGGCTGGCTGGCTGGCTGCCTGGCAAGCTGGCTGGCTGCCTGGCAAGCTGGTTAGCTAGTTGGCAGGCTGGCAAAATGGCTGGCAAGCTGGCTGGCTGGTTATCTGGCTGGCTGGCTGGCAAGCTGTCTGGTTGGTATGCTGTCTTGCTGGCAAGCTGTCTGGTTGGTATGCTGTCTTGCTGGCAAGCTGTCTGGCTGGCAATCTGTCTAGCAAGCTGTGTCTGGCTGGCTGGTAAATTGTCTAGCAAGCTGTCTGGCAAGCTGACTGGCTGGCATGCAGGTTGGTATAAGCTGGGCTTGAAGGTCTATGCTTGAAGACACTACCAGTCATTATACTCATGGGGAAGCACTAAATCCGTAGGTACCATAGAGAGGCATTGTAAATATCAGGCAATCGCTGAAGGAGACTCGTTGCAGGACGAGACTTAGCACATAATAATATACTGAAGATGTTGGTTATTGATCTAAATACCTTATTAATGTTTATTTCCGGTGATCAGGTTCAAGTAATGCATTGATAAACACAATGTGTATGGTATGTTGACATATATTTTAGCATATAATGATATACTACAGTAGTCCCTCCCGTATCTGTGGGATAACTTCCAAGACCCATGATAACGTTTAACTGATAAATCGTGCACAAGTCGAGAATTATCACTTTCACTGATGAGAAGCACTTTACAGCTTCTCTTAGACTTTGAAGAACTGCCACCATCACTACTTTTGTGCTTTGAGGCCATTATTAAGCAAAATTATGGGTTGTTTTTGGGCTACAGTAGACCATGGATAACTGAAAGTGTGGAAACCAAAACCATGGGTGGTGGTTCTGCTATACTATAGATGTTGGTTATTACTCTAAATACTGTATTAATCTTTTAAATGTTAATTTCAGGTGAGCAGGTTCGAGTCCTGAGCTACAACAAGTCTGGAGAATGGTGTGAAGCCCACGCTGGTTCTGGGAGGTGGGCTGGGTCCCGTCCAACTATATCACTCCTGTCAACTCGCTGGAGAAACATTCCTGGTACCATGGTCCCATATCCAGAAATACAGCGGAGTACCTCTTGTCCTCCGGTATCAATGGTTCCTTTCTTGTTCGTGAGTCTGAAAGTTCTCCGGGACAGAGATCGATATCTCTCAGATATAATGGTCGTGTTTACCACTACAGAATCAACGAGGATGAAAATTCAAAGGTATTTTTTTGTATACTTTATATTTTAATATTTTCTTGTGTTTGCTGTTTATGTTAAACTAATTACACCTGTAATAATGATAAAATATTTGTATGAAGAAGCCTTAAATATGTACATAACTTGTATAAAACTTAATTCCCGTCTTGATCCATGAAGTTCCTCTTTCCGTATAAAGATTCTGACATTATTAATTGGTAAAATATTCCTTGAAACATGTCTCTAGTCTTTAATTAGTTATCCAGGAAAAGCGAGATATACTGTATACTACTTATAATTTTTTTTTAGTGGTAATTACTGTATTTTTTCGTTATACATATAAGGCACATGATTGTCAGCTGCTTGCTGGCACTGTTTACAAACAGTTTTTAAGTAACTTTAGTAAACAACTGCTAAAGCATAATTCAAAGCCTACCCTTGACCCTGACCTTGAGCATATAAGGCACAGGCTGATTTTCCAAGACTTTTTGTGGGGAAAAAAGCATTCCTTATATGCCAGAAAATACAATAGATATCAACTTTTTTAGATTGTATTCCTTACTGTATTGTGTACCCAACAACTATGAAAACATTGTAAAATACAAGATAATTAGTACACTTACGACCTGCCCGACTTACGACCTGCCCGACTTACGACCTGCTCGACTTACGACCTGCCCGACTTATGACCTGCTCGACTTACGACCTGCTCGACTTACGACCTTCTCGACTTACGACCTGCTCGACTTACGACCTGCCCGACTTACGACCTGCCCGACTTACGACCTGCCCGACTTACGACCTGCCGACTTACGACGCACTTACGACCTGCCCGACTTACGACTTCACTCGACCCTCGACTTACGACTGTCGATTATGTTACTGCCGAACTTTCACTGGGAAATAAACAACTATTTGTGTTGTACACAGTGTTTATCCTAAACCTTACAGTATAAAATACAGTACTAACAACATAAAAAGTAAAGTAAAACATGAAATACCAAAATAAAACAATAAAATAAAGTCATTACAAAAATGTTTTGTTGATATTCAGTAGTAAAGTTCGACTTACGACCGGTTTCTCGGAACCGAACTCAGTCGTAAGTCGGATGGTAGGTGTATTTGTTTCCATTGATGTAACAATGTTCAGAGAAGTCTGATAAAGACTCAGTGTGATCTTTGTAATCCCGTTTTTGCACTACTTCTCACAGGATGCACAATAAACTAGTCGTTTAGGATGTGCAGCTACATGCCACCTATAATGGTTCAGGATTAACCCTTTCAGGGTCCAGAGGCCAAATTTCCAAGTGTGCACCAGTGTCCAAGAATTTTCAAAAAATAATTTTGTTATTTTTTCTTATGAAATGGTAGAGAATATTTTTCCGAAGGTAATAAAACAAAAAGTATGAAATTTGATGGAAAATTGATGAAATTATGCTCTTGCGAATTTTGATGTGTCAGCGATATTTATGCATTGGCAATTTTGCGGACTTTGACTCCCATTTTAGGCCAATTACATTATTCCAGTTGACCGAATTGTTAGCTATTTCACTAGTATTACTTCTATTCTATCGATTGAGCACAAGAATTCACCAAGTCAACTGTTTCAGCTACAAAATAAAGTGATCGGAAATTGGTAATTTGGCCAATTTAATGCAAAGTTCAGAATACTCCAATTTCAAAATAGGGTCCAGAATAAACAATGCAGACATTCCTGGCACTAAACTAACATTTTCTCTGTTCATTAGTTACGTTTTCAGGCTTTACTAATGAATTCCATTTTGATTTTTTATTCACATAAACAGTTTTATTCAAACCAAAAAATAGAAGATTTACTGTTATGCAATATTGCAATAATTGTATAAATAATATCAGAACATTTGTGAACATATATTAGACTCACCAGCTGGTGTGTATTAGACGTGTGAGGTCATTTGTTTACTCTTGAACATCGGCAAAAATTTAACATTTCTGCTAATTTGAGCTCAGTTTCAAGCCATTTCCAGTGCTAAAACCAATCAAAATCATCTCTATTTCTGTAACATATCTTCCATTCTATCAAATGAGACCAAGAAATCACAAATACAACTATAAAAAACATACGAAAAAACACTGCGAAGTCGCTGTTTTAATCGAAAATCACGGTCTCAGTTTTTTCTCTCATTATGCACTGTGTGCTGCAGGATTTGTTTTATGTGGTGCACACATACCACATAGATGTATTCTCTCATATCTAGGCCCAAATTTACCACTCACAGCTTATCAGAGTGAGCTGAGCTCATGACGTAGATCTACGGTTTGGACCCTCAACATAAAGCCGTAGATCTACAGCATGGACCCTCAAGGGGTTAACTAAGTTTTCTTTCTCTTCATCAAAGAGATTAAGCATTCTGACTGTAAAATAATGGATTTTTTAGTCAAAATGTTTAAATTTTTGTGGTAAGCAGGAAATAATCTAAAATATTATAAATTATCATCATTTTGATTACAACTTTGATAATCTATATTAGCTTATTTAGGTTTTGCATTAAGACTCAATAACGTCTCCTCATATCAGTTTCACACCTTCAAAACTTATGCAACTTAGTGAAATGAAGGTGGGATGTTTTTGTCTATTTTTGAGAAAAAAAAAATTAACCAGCCTGTTTTTCTCAAACACTAATGAATTGGCACACATACACCAAACTTAATATTGTAATTGATTCTAATAATTTACCTACTATAGATATGTTTATTGGGCAGTAATTTAATGGAATTGACTTATTCCATGATTTTTTGACTCCACATGATTTTTGACTCCACATGATTTTTGACTCCATATGATTTTTGACTCCACATGATTGTTGACTCCACATGATTTTTGACTCCACATGATTTTTGACTCCACATGATTTTTGACTCCACATGATTTTTGACTCCACATGATTTTTGACTCCACATGATTTTTGACTCCACATGATTTTTGACTCCACATGATTTTTGACTCCACATGATTTTTGACTCCACATGATTTTTGACTCCACATGATTTTTGACTCCACATGATTTTTGACTCCACATGATTTTTGACTCCACATGATTTTTGACTCCACATGATTTTTGACTCCACATGATTTTTGACTCCACATGATTTTTGACTCCACATGATGGTTTGGGCAGCAGTGGTCTCAAAGTAGTGGCAATAATTTTTTCAAGTTTTTTGGCTTTTTAATTTTTTTGTACTGTACATGTATACAGTGGAATCTCAGTATACGACCTGAATTCATTCCAGAAGACTATTCAAGTGTTGCTCCATTTGAGCATCGAACAAGTTCTTGCTAACCAATTTTCTGTTTGGTTGACTGTTATCCCTAATCTTCGTAGGCAGCATGGTGACTTATTTATACAAATAATACAGAAACACCAAAAAATGCGAAGAAATATGAAATACAGTGGTCCCTTGCTTTTCGTAGTTCTCGGCAATCATAAATTTCGCCAGTCATAGGGGTATTTTTGTATAAACATGGACTCGCTTTTCATAGGTTGACTCGCGAATAATAGTTCGTCCGGGACGCGTACGCATGGTGTGAGCCAAAGCTGCCTCCCTACCCAGCCAGTCTGGCATTGTTTACCAGTGAGTGAAGGTCCCCTCAAGTGCTCCTACGAAATATTTCATAATATTCCACTCATTTTAGTGCTTGCAAGTACTAAATAAGCTACCATGGCTCCAAAGAAAGCTCCTAGTGCCAAGCCTGTGGTAAAGAAGGTGAGAAATATGTACAGTGACAAAGTCTTGGGCCATTTTAGGGAAGTGTTAAAGAGACGCCAGAAACAGAGCTCTCTCCACAGTTACTTTGCGAGACAGGACTAGAGTGACTCTCAAGGTGGTCCTAGTGGCATTAAGAAACAGAGAAGAGAAGCAACCCCAGAGAAGTAATTGGTACCTGAGGTGTTGCTGGAAGGGGATTCCCCTTCCAAACTATAAACAATCCACTCTCTCTCCTCCTCCAGTCTCCCATACACTAAGAAGAATCACCAATAAAGGTAAGTGTTATGCTGTTAATGTTTCATTCATCATTTCCCATTGTATTGTTTATGTACTACATGTATATTTCATGTAAAAAATCTTTTTGTTTTAATACTTCTGGGTGTCAGGAATGGATTAATTGTATTTACATTATTTCTTATGGGGAAAATTGATTCGCAAATTGTAAATTTCGTTTATAGTAGCTCCTCCAGGAACGGATTAATTACGAAAAACGAGGGACCACTGTAGTTTACAGCGAAGTTCTCACAGGTCGTATTTGTTTGGTTGAGTGCTGAGCTCTGTTCGAGTAGGGAGCTGGTTGTATACCGAGGTTCCACTGTATAGTGTTATGAATGATGTAAAAATAATCCATACCATCTGTACAATGTGTTATATTTAATTATGTTAATAAAAATAAATGTATGGAGTGTTATGAATGGCACAGAAGAGATTAAACTCACATTGTAGAGACCTAAACTTTGTGTACTAATGTTGGTAATTTTTCAGTTATATGTGTCGTCAGAGTTCCGCTTCAACACCCTGGCAGAGTTGGTACACCATCATTCACAACACGCAGATGGACTCATCACTCAGTTACTGTATCCTGCCCCAAAGAGAAATAAACCGACTGTATTTGGTCTCACCCCAGGTACTGCAATGTGTTTATATTATACACGTGCTCCTCGACTTATGGTGTGGTGTTATGTTCCGACGAACCCGCCATAAGTTGAATACGAATGTGATCTGCCAGATAAATAAATAAATAATGTGTCACTAAATAAGTAAATAAACAAATAATTACTGTATCTAACTAAATACCAGTATTGAAAAGTAAATAAATGAATACAAGTTATGGACTTGTTGCTTTCATGTTGGGTAATTATCTTAAGTTTTATTTCCAAAGTAATTGTTTTTGTACCATCAGAAAGTCAAAATATCATAAGTTGAGGAGCATCTGTACTTATTCCTGAATTAAGAGAGGAAAATTTCTGTAATGCTTTGGTCTGTCTTGGCCCTTTATCAAGTGTCTTAATAATGGTCTCGTATGGTCCGGACTGTAACAATGTTGGTAGAATTACTGACATTATGTTAGAATTACCAACAATGTGTTAGAATTACCGACAATATGTTAGAATTACCGAGAATGTGTTAGAATTATCGACAATATGTTAGCAGAATTACCGACAATAAAATGTCTAATTACATGCAAGTAATGTGACATTTTATTGTGGCAACTTTTCACTTTCTAGGAGTGTGTCAAGCTGTAACTGCTTAACAAAGCTCCTGCAGGATCAATATTGTTACTTTAACCTTGACTGTCATTGATACTGCTACAATATAAAGTGTTGTTGCAGGAACAATATTGTAACTTTAGTCTTGAGTGTTACTGATACCACTACAATATAAAGAGTTAACCTTCGATGTACTGGACACTTCAGAGCCTGACGAGTGGGAGATAGAGAGAACAGACATAGCAATGAAGCACAAGCTGGGAGGCGGCCAGTATGGTGATGTATATGAAGCTGTATGGAAGAGATATAACATCTGTGTTGCTGTTAAGACTCTCAAGGTATGTACCTGCCGTACTCTTCTTGACCTTCAAAGTCCAACCACCATTGATTACCTTATGTTTCTCAGGCACTCTATGACCCCTACAGGTTTAGCTATTTCCAGTGAAGAAAGCAGTATTAACTTCACTTCCCCAAGGTTGTATGATCGTAATGGGTTTAATATTATCTTCCCCAGGGTCTGTATGATCTTAATTAGTAAAATATTTCTCTTTGAATATAATAATAAGGTAACTTTGGTTACCTTAAAATGTGTTACTCATTCCCATATTATTGATATTAGTGATACCTATATGTTTCAGGTGTTTAATATCAATTGTTATTAAAGTTGTTTAGGGTCCAGTTTATTTTATTATATGTTGTGAAGATTTAGTGGTTTGTAACTAGTCATTTGGACTTTGAAATATATTGACAGATTTGTCCATCATGATTGTATAAAGTACTATTGTGACTATAACTTTTATCAAATGTACTCCTGTGTTTCACAGATTTTTATATATCATATTACTTGTTCTGACTTTCTCCATACTGTACCTCTTTACCTGATGTGTCTTCTTGTTTGGTTGCTCAGTTGTGACTTGATAATGGTCCAGGACTAACCAAAATACAGTAGAACCCCCATATCTGTGGACTCAATTTCCATGGTTTACCATGGCCCAAAAATAACCCTTAATTTTGTTTAACAATGGCTCCAAAGCACGAAAGTAGTGATGCTGACAGTTTGTCAAAGCCAGAGAGAAGCCAAAAAGTGCTTCCCATCAGTAAAAAAAGTGCTAATTCCTGACTTATTGTGCGTAATTTATCAGTTGCACTTTATCATAGGTATGTATGTATGTAAATGAAAAATGACATACGGTGGACCCCCAGTTATCGTAATTAATCTGTTCCAGAGAGTGTGACTAAAACCAATTTGAGGATATCCGAATTCATTTTCCCCATGAGAAATAATGTAAATCCAATTAATCTGTTCCAGACACCCAAAAATATTAAAAAAAATATTTTTTGTACATGAAATATACATTTACCTACTCAGAAAACAGAGAGACATGAAGAATAAACAATAATAACTTGACAATTACCTTCATTGAAGACTTGTTAATATATGGAAGACAGGAGGAGAGGAGAGGATGGAGGAGTTACTATTGTTTGGAAGGGGAATCCCCTTCCATAAAGACTTCAGGTACCAAGTCCTTTTCTGAGGTTACTTCCCTTCTTTGTTTTTTAATGTCACTAGGACCAGCATGAGAGTCACTGGACCCCTGTTGCTCAAAACATTGTTCCAGAGAGCTCTGTTTCTGGTATTTCTTTAAAATTTCCCTAAAATGGGACATGACTTTGTCATTGTACATGTTGCCAACACAGCCAGTACGTGTTGCCAACATGACCAGCAACAGCTTTGTCAGGGTGATGCTCATCCATAAATGCTTGCACCTCACTCCACTTTGCACAAATGTCCTTAATCTTTGAAGAAGGCACCTTCTTCCATCTCTCTTCCTCCTCCTCTGAAGGAAGTTCCTCAGCTGTGGTCTGTTGCTGTTGCAGATGAAGGTCTTGCAGCTCTTCATTGGTCCTTCACCAACTCTTCCATATCCTTGCCACTCATCTCCAACCCTGTGGAATTCCCCACTGCCACAATACTTTCCACAACTGCTGTAGGCTCGTCAGAGTCGGCCCCAAACCCTTCAAAATCCCTCTCTTGGACACATTCTGGCCACAGTTTTCTCCAAGCAGAGTTCAAAGTCCTGGAAGTCACTCCCACCCAAGCCTACCTATAAGGTTTATGCAGTAGAGGATATTGAAGTGAAGTGATCTTTCCAGTACTTTCTAGGATCAATTCAGTGTCCGAGGTTATGTCAAAGCACCTTTGAAACATTGCTTTGGTGTAGTTTTTTGAAGCTTGAAATGACCTGCTGGTCCATGCGCTGGAGGACAGGAGTGGTATTAGGGGGCAAGAATTTCACTGTGATAACACGAAACTCCTCCACAGTTTGGTCATCCAAGTCTGGAGGATGAGCAGGAGCATTGTCCAGTACCAGGTGGCACTTGAGTTCCAATTTATTTTCCAGGAGGTATTTCTTCATACTTCATTGAACCAGTCAAGGAAAATTTCCCTTGTGACCCATGCCTTATTGTTTGCCTTCCACATTACACACAATTTACTCTTGATAACACTATTTTTCTTGAACACTCTGGGATTTTCAGAGTGATACACCAGTAAAGGCTTCACTTCGAAATCCCCACTAGCATTACTACAAAACATGAGTTAGCCTGTCTTTCATTTGCTTGTGTCCTGGGAGTGCCTTTTCCTTCTGTGTGATATAGGTCCTCTGGCATTTTCTTCCAAAAGAGGCCTGTTTTGTCACAATTGAACACTTGTTGGGGATTGAATTGTTCAGCCTCTATGTACCCCTTGAATTCCTGAACATATTTTTCAGCCGCATATTTGTCAGAACTTGCAGCCTCGCCATGCCTTACCACACTGTATATGCCACTACGCTTCTTAAATCTCTCAAACCACCCTTTGCTGGCCTTAAATTTACTAACATCAGCACTAGTTCCAGGTATTTTTTTTACGAGATCATCATGCAACTGCCTTGCCTTTTCACAAATTATCAACTGCATAACACTATCTCCTGATAACTGTTTTTCGTTGATCCACACCAACAATAAAGTCTCCACTTCTTTGCGTATTTGCAATCTCTGTTTTGTAAGCATATTTGCACCTTTTGCAACAACAGCTTCCTTGATTTCCTTTTTCTTAAGAGGCCACAATGGAAGTGATGGTTGTATGGAGTTTCTTATACAACCTGGCAAGGTCTGCCACACGTACTCCACTTTGATATTTTGCAGTGGGTGAGATGTTATCAACAAATTTTGTTGAAAATAAGAAAAAGTTTTGGAGTGAGATTAACAAGTTAAGGAAGCCTAGAGAACAAATGGATTTGTCAGTTAAAAATAGGAGAGGAGAGTTATTAAATGGAGAGTTAGAGGTATTGGGAAGATGGAGGGAATATTTTGAGGAATTGTTAAATATTGATGAAGATAGGGAAGCTGTGATTTCGTGTATAGGGCAAGGAGGAATAACATCTTGTAGGAGTGAGGAAGAGCCAGTTGTGAGTGTGAGGGAAGTTCGTGAGGCAGTAGGTAAAATGAAAGGGGGTAAGGCAGCCGGGATTGATGGGATAAAGATAGAAATGTTAAAAGCAGGTGGGGATATAGTTTTGGAGTGGTTGGTGCAATTATTTAATAAATGCATGGAAGAGGGTAAGATACCTAGGGATTGGCAGAGAGCATGCATAGTTCCTTTGTATAAAGGCAAAGGGGACAAAAGAGAGTGCAAAAATTATAGGGGGATAAGTCTGTTGAGTATACCTGGTAAAGTGTATGGTAGAGTTATTATTGAAAGAATTAAGAGTAAGACGGAGAATAAGATAGCAGATGAACAAGGAGGCTTTAGGAAAGGTAGGGGGTGTGTGGACCAGGTGTTTACAATGAAACATATAAGTGAACAGTATTTAGATAAGGCTAAAGAGGTCTTTGTGGCATTTATGGATTTGGAAAAGGCGTATGACAGGGTGGATAGGGGGGCAGTGTGGCAGATGTTGCAGGTGTATGGTGTAGGAGGTAGGTTACTGAAAGCAGTGAAGAGTTTTTACGAGGATAGTGAGGCTCAAGTTAGATTATGTAGGAAAGAGGGAAATTATTTCCCAGTAAAAGTAGGCCTTAGACAAGAATGTGTGATGTCACCATGGTTGTTTAATATATTTATAGATGGGGTTATAAGAGAAGTAAATGCGAGGGTCTTGGCAAGAGGCGTGGAGTTAAAAGATAAAGAATCAAACATAAAGTGGGAGTTGCCACAGTTGCTCTTTGGTGATGACACTGTGCTCTTGGGAGATTCTGAAGAGAAGTTGCAGAGATTGGTGGATGAATTTGGTAGGGTGTGCAAAAGAAGAAAATTAAAAGTGAATACAGGAAAGAGTAAGGTTATGAGGATAACAAAAAGATTAGGTGGTGAAAGATTGGATATCAGATTGGAGGGAGAGAGTATGGAGGAGGTGAATGTATTCAGATATTTGGGAGTTGACGTGTCAGCGGATGGGTCTATGAAAGATGAGGTGAATCACAGAATTGATGAGGGGAAAAGGGTGAGTGGTGCACTTAGGAGTCTGTGGAGGCAAAGAGGGGAATGTATGAGAGTATAGTTTTACCAACGCTTTTATATGGGTGTGAAGCATGGGTGATGAATGTTGCAGCGAGGAGAAGGCTGGAGGCAGTGGAGATGTCATGTCTGAGGGCCATGTGTGGTGTGAATATAATGCAGAGAATTCGTAGTTTGGAAGTTAGGAGGAGGTGCGGGATTACCAAAACTGTTGTCCATAGGGCTGAGGAAGGGTTGTTGAGGTGGTTCGGACATTGTAGAGAGAATGGAGCGAAACAGAGTGACTTCAAGAGTGTATCAGTCTGTAGTGAAAGGAAGGCGGGGTAGGGGTCGGCCTAGGAAAGGTTGGAGGGAGGGGGTAAAGGAGGTTTTGTGTGCGAGAGGCTTGGACTTCCAGCAGGCATGCGTGAGCGTGTTTGATAGGAGTGAATGGAGACAAATGGTTTTTAATACTTGACGTGCTGTTGGAGTGTGAGCAAAGTAACATTTATGAAGGGGTTTAGGGAAACCGGCAGGCCGGACTTGAGTCCTGGAGATGGGAAGTACAGTGCCTGCACTCTGAAGGAGGGGTGTTAATGTTGCAGTTTAAAAACTGTAGCGTAAAGCACCCTTCTGGTAAGACAGTGATGGAGTGAATGATGGTGAAAGTTTTTCTTTTTCGGGCCACCCTGCCTTTGTGGGAATCGGCCAGTGTGATGATAATAAAAAAAATGTCTATCTTGAATTCTATAGTGTTTCTGACCTTCTTTACCAAAGGGCTGGCACTAGAAGATTTTTTGGTCCCATAGTGGCTTATTTAGCAGTTGCAAGCACAAAAAGAATGGAATATTATGAAATGTATTGTATGAACGCATGGGGCGACGGTCACTCACTGATAAACAATAGTAAACTGACTGTGAATGCTGTGGGATGGTGTGTGGAGCTGCTCGGGGATGCTTGGGTCCACTCATACGCATTTGGGACGAATGACTATTACTGAGGTAAATGACGATCACTGAGCTAATATTTTGACAAAAAAATGTTACGATTACTGAATATTACGAAATCCGAGTACTACGATATCCGGGGGTCCACTGTATATAGGGTTTGCTGCTACCCATGGTTTTGGGTATCCACTGTAGATCTTGGAAGATATCTCTCGTGGATATGTGGGACTACTGTATACTCTAAATTTCCTTGCAACAGAGTGGGTTATTTATGAATTAGTATTATAATATGTAATTTTAGGAGGACACCATGGCTTTGAAGGATTTCTTGGAAGAGGCGGCGATTATGAAGGCCATGAAACATCCGAACCTAGTGCAGTTACTGGGGGTGTGCACACGAGAACCTCCGTTCTATATAGTGACAGAGTTCATGACTCGTGGCAACCTGCTAGACTACCTGAGGGTGTGTAGTCACGACGAAGTCAACGAAGTGGTCCTTCTCTACATGGCTACGCAGGTTGCGGCAGCTATGGAGTACCTCGAGGAGAGGAATTTTATACACAGGTGACAGTTGAGTACTTGCACATCAACCCCTTCTACTTTTCCCACTGATCTATTTTCCTCTCACAGTCCTATTTCCACACCAATGAAACTCACTTCTACAATTCTGTTTCCACACCAATTAAACTCCCACAATCCTATATCTACACCAATCAGACTCACTCCCACAATCCTATTTTCACACCAAACTCCCACAATCCAATTTCCACAAATCAAACTGAGGAGGCTGGAAATAGTGGTGTGAATATTATGCAGAGAATTTGAAGTGTGGAGACTGGAAGAGGGTATAGGGGTTACCAGAAGTATTCTTCAGAAGACTGAGGAGGGGTTGTTGAGGTGGTTTGGTACATTTAGAGAGAGTGGAGCAAAACAGGATGGATAGGAGGATGTATAAATCTGGGGTGGAGGGAAGGAGGGGTAGGAGTCAATCCAGGAAAAGTTGAAGGGGGAAGGGTAGATAGGTTTGAGTACTAGGCTTGGACATCCAGTGAGTTTGTGTGAATGTGTTAGATACAAGTGAGTGGAGGCAAGTGGTTTTTATGACTTGATGTGCTGTTGGAGTGTGATCAAGGTAAAATTTATGAAGGGATTCAGGGACACAGGCAGACTTGAGTTATAGAGGTGGGAAGCACAGTCTTTGCACTGAAGGGTCATTTGAACTATGATCCCTGCATGCTGCTGGGAAGACAGCAAGTGAATGAGTGACGATGAAAGTGTTTCCTCTTTTTTCAGGTCTCTTCGTCTTTCATCTTAGGGAAAAGTGGCCGTTCCTTTAAAAAATATCAAATATATATAAAGTTCAGAATATATAATATTAATATTCAGTGTAGTTCATTTGCTATTTCTGCAGTCTGCTTTTTCTCTTGTACTGAGAAGTAATGCTGATTAATTGCTGTACTAAAAATAATATTGGTTAGTGTGTTATTAAGAAATAATACTAGTGTTAGTGTTGTATTAAGCAATACTGGTATTAGTGTTGCACTAAATAGCATTACTAATATGTATTTGTGTTGTATAGAATTGTAATACTAATTAGAGTTTGGTTTCCACAGAGACTTGGCTGCTAGAAATTGTTTAGTTGGTGAAAATCACTTAGTTAAAGTAGCGGACTTTGGCTTGGCGCGACTGATGAGGGATGACACCTACACTGCTCACGCTGGTGCCAAGTTTCCCATCAAGTGGACGGCACCAGAGGGCCTCGCATATAATAAATTCTCCACGAAGGTAAGATATTGTACAAAAGAACAAAAAGGTACAATACCGTGACTGGAACAATACACAGATAACCCGCACATAGGAGAAAGAAACTTACGACAACATTTTGGTACAACTTTGACCATCAGCTTTCTCCTAGGTGTGAGATATTTGTGTATTGAACAAAGATTTTTTTTAACACTGACTGTCTCCAACTGAGACAAGGTGACCCAAAACATGCCAAGCTTTACTTGGCATTTACTTTTCAGGTCACCCTACTAAGGTAGGGTGACCTGTAAAAGAAGAAACACTTTCACCATTATTCGCTCTATCACTGTCTTGCCAGAGGTGTGCCGACGCTACAGTTCAAAAACTGCAACATATCTCCACCCCTCCTTCAGAGTGCCGGCACTGTACTTGTCACCTCCAGGACTCAAGTCCAGCTACCCGACTGGTTTCCCAGAATATAGGAAGCTCAAAGATCAGTGTGTCACCTCTTTCATTTTCTTCATTAGGTTGAAGGTTGTACCACAGAAACATACAAAGGCTCTGAAGCCTTTTAATTAAATGGTCATGACTGGCTGTTGTAAGCTTACAAGGACAATTTCAGTGCCTCACAGGACATTAGGTTAATTTTTTATGTTATAACTTTTTTGATTAGTAGATAACTCAAAAAATTAAGGATAGTATAGAAAAATGTATGACACTTGAGAAAAATGTTTGTATAGAGGTAAAGGGAAATTAACTAACATATACTAAAACTTTTTCCAGTCCGATGTGTGGGCCTTCGGCATCTTACTGTGGGAATTTGCGACCTATGGAGTATCTCCATATCCGGGAGTCGACCTCACTAATGTTTACCACTTGCTGGAGTCCGGCTACAGGTATAAATTTTCTCATTATTATTATTATAATCAAAACTAAGCACTAAACCCACAAGGTCATTGAGGTTGCTTCAGTGCTTGTGCAAATACGGTACTTAAACAGTTAATTTTTTACAACGTTGAATCCTCAGTTACGGAAACATGCCAGATATAACTATCCTATGTGGTGTGTGTTTATATGTTATAAGTCAATTTTTTGTAAGTTGGAACACGAGGAATGGAGCATGTTGATGAGTCAGCGGTCACCCTAAAGGTATACAGTGGACCCCTGGTTTACGATATTATTTCATTCCAGAAGTATGTTCAGGTGCCAGTACTGACCGAATTTGTTCCCATAAGGAATATTGTGAATTAGAATAGTCCATTTCAGACCCCCAAACATACACGTACAAACGCACTTACATAAATACACTTACATAATTGGTTGCATTGGAAGGTGATCATATACCGGGGGTCCACTGTATTTTATCTACTTAAATATGCATTCCTATAAACTTCCTAGATTATAGCTCAAATAATTTTCTTATAATCATGTACAATGACATACTTTATCTACTTACATATACATGCATTACATATTCATTGAGTCACTGTTATTGTCATGCCTTAATGTCCTGGTATACATATGTATAATGTCTGTTTCCCTATAGTCTAAGCTAGGCTAAAGCTTGCCTGAAATACCCTGTATAACCATAGGCTTTCTGCATGCATTATCAAGTTTCACCCATTACTGTATAAAGAATGTATCATGTAGAAATAGATGTTTGAATCTGAACTTGAATTAAATTGTAATAAACACCTGTCAGTGAATAAACAGAAAGGTGGACAAGGAGCTCTGTTAGAGTTCTGGACTGTCAAGACAGTAGAGGGTCAGACTATCAATTTATGGACCACAATTTGAGACCCTCGTCCACCCTTCTGTCTATTCATTTAAATTTGAATTTGAAATAAAAATGAGTAGTAGATTTCACAAAATATATTGTTTTCAGGATGGATTGTCCTCAAGGGTGTCCAGTACGTGTGTATGAGCTCATGAAACAATGTTGGCTTTGGAACCCTGCCGACCGACCCACGTTCTCACACATCCATCATGCATTAGAGACAATGTTCCAGGAGACATCCATTACTGAGGGTAAGAAAAAATGAATAAACTTTTTGAATCTTTCATTTCATTACGAAATGAAAACCTAAAGTGTAATGACACCCAAAAGTGTAATGACAACCTTTAAGTGTAATGACAACTTGTCATTGCTCAGTAATTAACTCCCATGGCGACAGCAACTTGGAATATTAATCGATTATTGTGAAATGTTAACTTGCAATATCACTCTAATGTTTTTGTTAGAAAACTAAACATTTTGAATATTGCAATTCATAATGTTAACTTGAAAAGGTTTGTAATAACAATAAGTGTAGGAGAGCCCCACATATACAGAAATTTTCTGTGTTTCACATTTTTGTTGGTTTTCAATTGAGCCATTGTTCCACCCGCTGGTTATTATCGCCGGCAGTTGGAACACAATGAACAGTTGCTCGGTTTGAAGCCATCAAAAAATTGGAACACTGAAAAAAGGTGCTGTTTAAGTATGACCCTCCTGCATACATTTGTAATTCACAGGGTAATATTTAGTGAAGGGATTCAGGGAAACTGGTTATTTTTATATAGCTGGATTTAAGTCCTGGAAATGGGAAGTACAATGCTTGCACTCTAAAGGAGGGGTTTGGGATACTGGCAGTTTGGAGGGATATGTTGTGTATCTTTATATGTATATGATTCTAAACTGTTGTATTCTGAGCACCTCTGCAAAAACAGTGATAATGTGCGAGTGAAAATGGAAGTGTTGAATAATGATGAAAGTATTTTCTTTTTGGGGATTTTCTTTCTTTTTGGGTCACCCTGCCTCGGTGGGAGACGGCCGACTTGTTAAAAAAAAAACCTACACTTAAGAAATTTCAGATAACGTTTCAGTCTGTCCTGGATCTTTGTTTTGACTTTTTGTTTTGTTTGGGTATTTTACAGATTGTTCTGGTCAAATTAGTGTGACTTGTATTCTTCGTAAATTTGTGACATTGAAGTGTAATTTTGTGTTTATAGAAGTGGAGCAACAGTTAGCAGCTGGAGGAGGAAGGAAGACAAGAGGGACAGCCTCCTCCAGCACACACCAACAGTGGAGTGAAGATCAACTTCCCACAAGCCCTCGAACATCTTCCGCTCGACAGTAAGTTGACTAACAAAGGTACTTTCAGCAGAGCAAGTCTTTATTAAATAACATTTATCTTGTAGGTGAACTTAATCAAGAATTTGACTTGAAAGAAAAGTCATCTTGGAGCATTTGTAATTCTCTACTTATTGGCATTTTGACTCGCCCATTTAATTGCTCTTTTTTTTCACCATTTGCTCTACTTGTAATGCATCTGTATATGCAAGTAATTTTTTATGAATATAAAAGGATATGGGAAGTACAATGCCTGTACTTTAAAGGAGGAGTTTGGGATATTGGCAGTTTGGAGGGATATGTTGTGTATCTTTGTATGTATATGCTTCTAAACTGTTGTATTCTGAGCACCTCTGCAAAAACAGTGATTATGTGTGACTGAGGTGAAAGTGTTGAATGATGATGAAAGTATTTTCTTTTTGGGAATTTTCTTTCTTTTTGGGTCACCCTGCCTCGGTGGGAGACGGCCGACTTGTTAAAAAAAAAATGGAAGGAGTATTGGTGAATGTGTTGTTCTTAGGGTCACTTTTAGTGGGGAAATAGACAGTGTGTTAGAGAAAAAAATGGATGAAAAATCTAATATATTAGTAGCACTTGCCAGTATGCAGAGAATCCCTCACTACAGCCAATACTAAAATTGACATTAGTATAATTTATCTTAATCCTGCCTAGCCTTTTTTTGGTCTGTGTTAAATTAGTACAGTATTATTTAACATAAATGAATTATATTAATTATCTGATGTTCAGACTGATTTTCTTGTGATATTGTAACAATGAATTTAATAGTTGGCTTGACTGGCAAAACAATCGTGGCTTTAGAAGTGAATATTGCAAGCTCTGCCTAAAAAGCATGACGTGTGCAAGAAATCAGTGTTATAGCCTACTTTTAGGCTTACTGAAAAAAAAAGCTTATTGTATCATAGATCTTTAATATACACAAATAACCCACACATAGCAGAGAAGAGCTTATGACAATGTTTGGGTCCAACTTAGACCATTTACAAAGTCACACCTATGTGTGGGTTATTTGTGTATTGTTCCAGTCACAGTATTGTGGCTTTTAGTTTTTTATAGTTCTTATATAAATGGTATGTTGTGTATCTTTATACGTATATGCTTCTAAACTGTTGTATTCTGAGCACCTCTGCAAAAGCAGTGATAATGTGTGAGTGTGGTGAAAGTGTTGAATGATGATGAAAGTATTTTCTTTTTGGGGATTTTCTTTCTTTTTTTGGGTCACCCTGCCTCGGTGGGTCACCCTGCCTCGGTGGGAGACGGCTGACTTGTTAAAAAAAAAAAAAAATGTGATTAAAAATGACTGTTTAAAAAGACAGAGAGAAAGTATCATTATAAAATATCATATGGCCTGATCAGCAGGAATATAAAGAAGCAATAATGATACTGGTTCAATGTCCTTTTAAATAGTAGCTTTTAATTATTGTTTTTCATTATGAAGTCAAGATAAATTGTGTGTTTAATATTAATTCTTTGCTTTAAGAAGAAGCAACAAGAACAAGCACAACATGATGGATGAAGGAAGTAGTCCAAACTTGCCTCGAGAAGTTCGACCAAGTCCAGGTATCCTCTCCGCTCGATCAACAGTGGTCCAACTTAGACGCACTACCAATAAGAAGGGTAAACAGGCGCCAGCACCTCCCAAGAGAACGAGGTAATGGCATAGTTTAGTACATCTTTGTACTTAGGAAATATTCCCATGTAATTCAAGTGTACCTTGACTTTCAGGTATTTTATATCAATCCATATTCATGATTAATTTTTTTTACACTGACTCAAGACTGTTGTAGTAAAGTGACTGTCTCTAAAATATGAACATTGGTAAAGTGAGTTTGATGGTAACGTGAGAATGTTGAGTGTTGCTCTAGTGCTTTCCAAGTCTGCTCATTGCTCTGTTTATTTGTTTTTACATCAGAATGTAGTCTTGCTTTAATCTTCTATTGCATTTATTGTTGTTAATGCATGTTATAATGTTAAATTTGGTTAATAAGTGTCTTATCTAACCTAAACAGTGTACATAATTTGCTTAAGGATATGAAGAAAACAGTGTTACATTAGGAAGATAGGTAGTTTATATAAGGCTTGATATGCACTCAAATTAAGTAGTAATAAATAACTGTCAGTGAAGGTAAGGTATATAAGGGCGGACGAGGGGCGTCAACCACACACTCAAAATTGACACTCTACTGGAATGGTAGAGCATCAGACTATCTATTTGCAGACCGGGGTCAGAGGTTATCATTCACATTTCTGTTTATTCAAGGCTTGATACATGAAAGGATAATTTAATACAGTGGACCCCCGCCTTACGATCAGCTCCCAATGCGACCAGTTATGTAAGTGTATTTATGTAAATGCGTTTGTACGTGTATGTTTGGAGGTCTGAAATGGACTAATCTAATTCACAATATTCCTTATGGGACCAAATTCCTTCAGTAATGACACCTGAACATACTTCTGGAATGAAATAATATCGTAAACTGGGGGTCCACTGTACTCTGTAAAAAGTGTAAACTTTATGATTGAAATTTTATGCTGAAGCTCAGTAATACATTTTTACTTTGTCAAGCAAATCACATTGCTCCATCTTTCCTGTATCTTGACCTTTTTCATAATTCTTGGTTCTCATCTTTCTGTGAAGAAAATATAATAAAACTTTGATAATATTTTGGAACCAGCATTAAATCATAATAAAACAATTGCAAACAAACCATGGAATGTGTGGGGTTTGAACCCAAGGCAAACGAGTCCTAAAATTCACAGGCCAATACGTTGACAACTTGGCCTGTGACTTGTAGGACTCACTTACCAGGGGTTCAAAACCCACTCGTTCTCTGGTTTGGTGTTAAATGGTGGTGAAAGTGAAGTTATGTTGTTTTTTAAAATATAGTATGTAATGGGTGAAATACTACAATAGTTTGGCGAGATATAAGCGACTATTGGCAGAAAGGTGGGCTAGTGCAAAGATGAGTAGTGGGGGGGGGGGGGGGGGGGGGTTGAAGAGGGTTGGAATAGTTTTAAAAATGCAGTATTAGAATGTGGGGCAGAAGTTTGTGGTTATAGGAGGGTGGGGGCAGGAGGAAAGAGGAGTGATTGGTGGAATGATGAAGTAAAGGGTGTGATAAAAGAGAAAAAGGTAGTTTTACGAGAGGTTTTTACAAAGCAGAAGTGTTATAAGAAGAGCAGAGTATATGGAGAGTAAAAGAAAGGTGAAGAGAGTGGTGAGAGAGTGCAAAAGGAGAGCAGATGAAAGAGTGGGAGAGGCACTGTCAAGAAATTTTAATGAAAATAAGAAAAAATTTTGGAGTGAGTTAAACAAGTTAAGAAAGCCTAGGGAAAGTATGGATTTGTCCGTTAAAAACAGAGTAGGGGAGTTAGTAGATGGGGAGGGAGGTATTAGGTAGATGGCGAGAATATTTTGAGGAACTTTTAAATGTTGAGGAAGAAAGGGAGGCGGTAATTTCATGCACTGGCCAGGGAGGTATACCATCTTTTTGGAGTGAAGAAGAGCAGAATGTAAGTGTGGGGGAGGTACGTGAGGCATTACGTAGAATGAAAGGGGGTAAAGCAACTGGAACTGATGGGATCATGACAGAAATGTTAAAAGCAGGGGGGATATAGTGTTGGAGTGGTTGGTACTTTTGTTTAATAAATGTATGAAAGAGGGGAAGGTAAACCCAGGGATTGGCGGAGAGCATGTATAGTCCCTTTATATAAAGGGAAAGGGGACAAAAGAGATTGTAAAATTATAGAGGAATAAGTTTACTGAATATACCAGGAAAAGTATATGGTAGAGTTATAATTGAAAGAATTAGAGGTAAGACAGAATGTAGAATTGCGGATGAGCAAGGAGGCTTCAGAGTGGGTAGGGGATGTGTAGATCAAGTGTTTACATTGAAGCATACATGGACCCCCGCATAACGATTTTAATCCGTGCAAGAAAGGGTTGATTGTTATGGAATAAATCGGTATGTGAATGAATTTTCCCATAAGGGAAAAAATGGAAATAAAATTAATCGTTGCAAGACACCCAAAAGTATGAAAAAAAAAATTTTACCACATGAAATATACATTTTCCTACACACAAAGAGAGTGAATACATGCACAATAGTAGAGTAGTAACATGCAAATATATATTGTGCTGTACTACTCTAAAATGAAGATAAATGACACTTACCTTTATTGAAGATGCAGCAATGACTGATGAGACACTGTGTCCTGGGAGTGCCTTTCCTCCTGAGTATGTAGGTCCTGTTTGGCATTTCTTCCAGAACAGGGCCTTATCAACTGTGTAATGCCACTCGATTCTTAAAATCTCTCAAAACCAACCTTTGTGGCTTAAATTCACCAATATGAGCACTAGTTCCAGCATTTTTCCCTGTTCACTGGGTGTTAGTCGACTTGTGTGGGTTGATCTGGGAGACAAGAAATTAAGGAAACCCAATGGAAATAATTAGGGCAGTCTTCGATGGGCAAATGATTTTTGGGTTATCCTGGGTGGCAAACCTCTGGGTTAATTGTTCTTGGTATTCTCAATAAGCCACACCAACAACGGTGCTACAGCAGCAGCCCGCAGCTGACGGTGGTACAGCATGCAAAAGACGATGCTACAGCAGCAGCAGACGATGCTACAGCAGCAGCAGACGATGTTCAGAGCAAGGCAGACGATGCTACAGCAGCAGCAGGCACAGACGATGCTACAGCAAGCGCAGCAGCTGACGGTGTACAGCGCAACAGACGATGCTACAGCAGCAGCAGATGTCAGCAGCAACAGACGATGTTACAGCAGCAGCAGACGATGCTACAGCAGCAGCAGCAGCTGACAGTGCAGCAGCAGCAGCAGCTGTACCACCAATAGTAGCGATGGTTGATTGGGGTTTATTATACAACCTGGCCAGCTCGGAGACACGCACTCCACTTTCATACTTATCAATGATCTTTTTCTTCATCTCTATTGTAATTCTCACCCTTATTGCTGTAGGGTTGGCACTAGAAGCTTTCTTGGGGCCCATGGTCACTTATTTTCCAGAAATAGCACCGAAAAAACTGTAATAATACGAAATATTCCGATTGTATGCTTGGATGTTACCGCGGAGGCTGGCTGGTAAACAATGCCACTGGCGGAACATGTGAGCGTGGCTCAGGCCGCACATTGGACGCGTCTCGGACGAAAATCGGTGAGCGGGTTTTTAAGCGGTATGTGAGGCAAAATTTTTGCGATTAAAGCAAGCGGTATGCGGATTAATCGCTATGTGATGCCATCGTTATGCGGGGGTCCACTGTATATGCGAACAGTATTTAGATAAAGGTAGGGAAGTTTTTATTGCATTTATGGATTTAGAAAAGGCATATGATAGAGTGGATAGAGGAGCAATGTGGCAGATGTTGCAAGTTTATGGAATAGGTGGTAAGTTACTAAATGCTGTAAAGAGCTTTTATGAGGATAGTGAGGCTCAGGTTAGGGTGTGTAGAAGAGAGGGAGAATACTTCCCGGTAAAAGTAGGTCTTAGACAGGGATGTGTAATGTCACCATGGTTGTTTAATATATTTATAGATGGGGTTGTAAAAGAAGTAAATGCTAGGGTGTTTGGGAGAGGGGTGGGATTAAATTATGGGGAATCAAATTCAAAATGGGAATTGACACAGTTACTTTTTGCTGATGATACTGTGCTTATGGGAGATTCTAAAGAAAAATTGCAAAGGTTAGTGGATGAGTTTGAGAATGTGTGTAAAGGTAGAAATTTGAAAGTGAACATAGAAAAGAGTAAGGTGATGAGGGTATCAAATGATTTAGATAAAGAAAAATTGGATATCAAATTGGGGAGGAGGAGTATGGAAGAAGTGAATGTTTTCAGATACTTGGGAGTTGACGTGTCGGCGGATGGATTTATGAAGGATGAGGTTAGTCATAGAATTGATGAGGGAAAAAAGGTGAGTGGTGAGTTGAGGTATATGTGGAGTCAAAAAACGTTATCTATGGAGGCAAAGAAGGGAATGTATGAAAGTATAGTAGTACCAACATCTTATATGGATGTGAAGCTTGGGTGGTAAATGCAGCAGCGAGGAGACGGTTGGAGGCAGTGGAGATGTCCTGTCTAAGGGCAATGTGTGGTGTAAATATTATGCAAAAAATTCGGAGTGTGGAAATTAGGAGAAGGTGTGGAGTTAATAAAAGCATTAGTCAGAGGGCAGAAGAGGGGTTGTTGAGGTGGTTTGGTCATTTAGAGAGAATGGATCAAAGTAGAATGACATGGAAAGCATATAAATCTATAGGGGAAGGAAAGAGGGGTAGGGGTCGTCCTCGAAAGGGTTGGAAAGAGGGGGTAAAGGAGGTTTTGTGGGCGAGGGGCTTGGACTTCCAGCAAGCGTGCTGAGCGTGTTAGATAGGAGTGAATGGAGACGAATGAATACTTGGGACCTGACGATCTGTTGGAGTGTGAGCGGGGTAATATTTAGTAAAGGGGATTCGGAAACCCGGTTTTTTCTTATAGGGGACTTACCCGGGAAAGGGGAAGTACAATGCCTGCACTTTAAAGAGGGGTTTGGTATTGGCAGTTTGGGGTATGTTGTGTATCTTTAACGTATATGCTTCAAACTGTTGTATTCTGAGCACCTCTGCAAAAGCAGTGAAATGTGTGAGTGTGGTGAAAGGTTGAAGATGAAAAGTTTTTTTTTTGGGGTTTCTTTCTTTTTTGGGGTCCCCCTGCCTCGGGGGAGACGAAAAAATTTTTAAAAAAAAAAAAAAAAAAAAAAGAGAGCTATCAGCATGGGGTCTTTAAATGCAAACCCAATTTTGCATAAAAACAAACCCACGGGTTTGGGAGAAGCTATTTTAAAAACTTTTTTGTCTACCCGGGTCCTTTTTTTTTTTTAATTTAAGTCCTTTTGGGGGGAGCAAGGGGCTGAAAACCCCTTTCCCTGTAAAAATTACAAAAATTTAAAAAGAGAAACCAAAATTTTTTCTTTTTGGTCACCCGACTCGGGGTGGGATACGGCTGGGTCTGTAAAAATAATAATGAATCAAAATTATCCTTCTAGGTAGTAGGTTGGTAAAGCAACCGCCCGGGGAGGGTACTACCGCCTGCCAAGTGGTGTAAAAGGGAAAGTCTGAAATTGTTTTACATGTGGAGGATTGTTTGTTTTTTTTTTTGTCTCATAAACATGTCTCATAAACTTCTACTTAACTTAGGTCACATACAATCATTACAAGTATATATATACACACCCCTCTGGGTTTTCTTCTATTTTCTTACTGGTTCTTGTTTTATTTCCTCTTACTCCTGGGGAAGTGGAACAGAATTCTTCCCCCCCTAACCATTGTATCGTAAGAGGCGACTCAAATGGGGGAGAAAGAGGCTAGAAACCCCCCTTTTTTGTATACATTATTAAAGTTAAAAAGATAAAGTTTTGTTTTCTTTTGGGGCCACCCGCTTCGTGGGAACAGCCATTTGTTCAAAAAGAAGCTAAGCCCCCCCCCCAAGGGAGGGGACCCGAAAAAAAGAGAAACCATTTTCACAGTCATTCTTTGGGTTGCCTTTTTCAAAGCATGCAACATCTCGTTCGTGGCCCTTGAGCTGCAAGCCCTTATCTCTTTTTTGGAAAAGGCGGGCGCTGACTTGCCATTTCCAGGACCAGATCTGACTACCTTTTTCTATGAACATTCTCAATGTTACCTTACTCATACTCCATAGCTAGTTGTAATTTGGTAACAGTCCCATGAGGATCATAATGCTATTTTTTAAGTTTTCTTCAGGGCAGATTACACAGTGTTTTTTTTGAAAAAAAGCTAATCAACTTGAGTTCTGGGGCGGGAAGTGCCTGCCGCACTCTAAAGGATGAGTTGGGTTTCAGTTTCAGGTTTTTCAGATGAACAATGTTTCTACAAGATGGGTGACTTTTTTGTGTGCAGCAGAGAGCCCTCTTAGTATACAGAGCATTTCGGAAAATTTAAGCCTATTAACAAGGAAATCCCAAATTGAGTGCTTATTATGCAGTCTCAAAGTGTTGAAAACAATAAGTTTAGGATTTACAAGGAAACATAAGAAAATTGAATAGTGTAGGGATCTGCTTCGGGGGGTTATTTGCATTGTGTTCTCTGTGTACTTCGGGCAAGATACTTTTTGAATATTTATGGTAAATGCAGTCTTTGAGTTACCCTACCTTTTTGTGATATGTTTTATGGGAGAAAAATAAAATAGGGTATGCAAAAAAAACCTTTTGGGGGAAAAATAAGTGAATTTCCAAGCCGTTTGTGATTAAAAGTCAAAAAAGACTCAAAAATTCACTCAGTTTTTCACGTGGTTATTTTGCATATTGTAATACCACCTTTTACTGTAAACTTTTTACATAATATCGGTATGGAAAAAGGATTTTACTGGATTGTAGCCCTCCATATCACCGAATTTTGACTAACGGGATCTTGGGTGAATGGAGCTCACTAATTCAGAAATTTGGACATTGTTATTGCAAACTTTATAATTAAATTGTTGACACGGGATTTTTTCACTTTGTTGCAAGAAGGTGAAGATGGGTGGCATTTGGGAAAAACAGTCATCGAGTGGGAATCTGTTAGTTTTGACCGATTTCGATTTTTTTCCCTTTTATAATCACAAATTGTAAATAAAATTGCAAACAAAACCCTGGAAGTGGGGATAAATCCCAGTCGGGTGTTTTATCCCTCCTTGCCGGGTTTTTAAAACCAAACCTGTTCTTGGTTTCTCTTCTTTGAGAAGAAAAAAAAGATAGATCGATTACATTAAGTTACTGAGCACAGGTCTCAGAAGTGGTATTTTTTCTTTCTAAAAAATTCCCAAAATTTTTATATTTTGAGTAGATTTTAATATTTTACTCAGTTGAAAATTACCAATAAACTCTCCCATCTAATGTAAATAATTTCAACTGAACACAGTTTCAGAAATTCAAGTTGATAAAAAAAATTGCTCTTGATTCCATAAACTCTGAATTTTGAAATTTTTCACGAATGCTTGTAGGAGGTCACATCTTCATAAAATAAAATTAAGAAAGATCTTGAAAGTAATGTTTTTTAGTAGCCCCCTTTGGCCCTAGTCTCATAGTCTTATTTTATGTCTTAAATGAGTACATGAAGGCCCCAATATACAGCTTTTCACATTGTTTTTCCCGGTTTTCGTTAGCTTGAAAATTAAAACTTTTGTTCATTATGTTACCTGCGTGATTGTCAATATCAAGTGCAACAATACTCAGTTAAGTCAACAAAAACATGAATGCAAAATAGGTGCTGTGTATGAAAGCCCCCTGTATTAAAATTAAACTTATTTGAAGATTACTAAGTTTAATGGGAGATTTTTTAGGCAACAGGCTGGCGACTTAGAAGACTCAGCCAGGGGGCGCCTTGGCACCCGCGCCCACATGGTTCGGCACCCGTCTCTGAGACCCTTTATAGGGTACATGCAATTTTTATTTTTAGTAAAAATAATAAGGGTGTTTTATAAATATAAAAGCCTGAAATCTTTTGCAAGATTTAACATGTTCCTGATTTTATGCAGAAAAGTTTTGAGTCTGTAATGAAGCGACCCTTCACTGGGGGCCATAATATTAGTGAATTGCTCTGGATTCGAGGAATTGGAGCTGCCTTTCCCTTCCTTGTATTAAACCTGATTACTTCTTATTTCCCTGATGCTTTTCTATGAATGTAATAATAAAAAGCATCAACATTTGGTGACTTAAGTGACCTGCGAGTTTGACTATTGAGGGAGCTAATATGTACACACATTAGTGTTAGATAGGAGTGAATGGAGATGAGTGGTTTTTGGGACTTGATGAGCTGTTGGAGTGAAGCATGTAAATTATTTGAAGGATTCAGGGAACGTTACGGGGACTTAGTCCTGTAGGTGGGGAAGTACAATCCTGCACTTTAAGGAGGGGTTTGGGAATTGCTGTTTGGGTGACTCTAAACGTATACTGAGAGCCTCTGCAAAGACAATGATTATGTGTGAATGATGGTGAAAGTGTTTCTTTCTTTTTTGGGGCACACTGCCTCAGTGGGAGACGGCCGACGTGTTAAAAAAAGTCATCTTTTTAGAGTGTATTTTTAATAATTTTTAATTATAGTGAATTACATATATAAAAATATATTTCCATTTGATTTGGTTAATGGCATAGAGTTGTTATTGCCATGGTAGAAAGCTCTTAGACACAGCTATGAAACAGATGAGAGGAATCCTTAAATAAAAAGTTTCTGACGAAGATAGAATATGCAGATCCATATATTAAAGTGGGTCTCTGACCAAGGACAAAATACTCAGACCTCTACTAAAGAAGGTCTCTGACTGAGGACAAAATATACACATTTCGTTGACTTGTATTTCTGTTTTATATTTCAATGGTTTATCACTTATATTTTCTAATTTTATTGCATTGCACATGACATTTGTGGACATGGCAGATACTGAGACACGTTAGTAATAATACTTTTTTTTTAGCACAATAGTCGTCTCCTACCAAAGTAGGGTGACCTGAAAAACAAAAGCTTTCACCATCATTCACATTATCACTGTCTTGCCAGAGGTGTGCAGATACAACAGTTCAGATGTCCTTCCAAACAGTAAATATCCCAGATCTTTTCCTTAGAGTGCAGGCATTGTACTTCCCAACTCGACCCCTGTAGACCACAGGCAGTACTTCCCACCTCCACCCCTCTAGATCGCAGGCAGTACTTCCCACCTCCACCCCTTTAGATTGCAGGCAGTACTTCCCACCTCCACCCCTCTAGATCACAGGCATTACTTCCCACCTCCACCCCTCTAGATTGCAGGCAGTACTTCCCACCTCCACCCCTCTAGATTGCAGGCAGTACTTCCCACCTCCACCCCTTTAGATCGCAGGCAGTACTTCCCACCTCCACCCATCTAGATTGCAGGCAGTACTTCCCACCTCCACCTCTTTAGATCGCAGGCAGTACTTCCCACCTCCACCCATCTAGATTGCAGGCAGTAGTTCCCACCTACAGGTTGTGACTTCACAATAGTCCACAATTAAATAAAATATTATTCCAGGTTTGTCTCCACAGTTCTGGCAATTAATGAATTATTCCAGCCAGAGAATTGTATCTTTTTTTATTCTTTAGAGTTGTTAAATGCATGCGAAAGTTTATCTAAATATATATCCATTGCCTAGTAATACAATAAAAACTTGATAATGGTCCAGGATTAAGTAATATGTTTTCTGAAGTTTATCAATCAGTTTGTGGGTTACGTAGTGAATATAGACTCTCCTCACCTAACAACCGAGTTCCATTCTATACTTTCCATTCTTTCCTCCTCTTCCTCTTGCAAGTGCTGCTGTTATGCTTCCAGCTCTATTAAATCTTCATTAGTTAGCTCTCCTTCAACATATTCCACTAGTTTTTCAATGTCTTCCACTTCAGCTGGTCGGAGAGCTGGACGTAAGTCCGTACGGTCATTAAACAGGTAGGTTGTTAAGTGAGGAATGTTTGTATTTCCAGTCATGGTATTGTGACTTTTATTCTCTAGATAAATGGTTTGGAGAACTGACAAATTGATGAATTAGACAAGTGTGCAACACTTGGGTATCTTTATTGAGGAAATGTTTCGCCCCACAGCAGCTTCATCAGTCCATACAAAGATTGATGATCTGATTACATCGACTCCAGGCTGAGGGGCTGGTTACCTCAGACTTCTTCTGATGATCACCATTCTTCTTTTTATGGACTGATGAAGCCACTGTGGGGCAAAACATTTCCTCAATAAAGATACCCAAGTGTTACACATATCTCTAATTTATCAACTTTCATTCTCTCCACCTTGTTAGTAGAAAATGAAATTGGACAGAACTTTGCCTTGAAGAAATTCCTCAGTAATATCTGCAGTTTATTATAAAATCTTTGAAGAATGAGTAAATGTTTCTCTACTGGTTGGTGAAATGTTTCATAATAAATGTTGCATAAGTGTCTCATTCTTCACCTTGTCTGTTTTCTAAGCCATTTACATCACATAAAATCTTTACCAATAAGAATAAAGAGAAGAACAGTGAGTTGGTAGATGGGAGAATACTATAGAGAGGGTGGGAGCAGGCTATTAGTGTCCTGTGTTCAGTTTTTGTAAATTTCCTCGACTAATAATGCTCATTTCTTCTAGTACATATGTTCTGAAATGTGCAAACGAATGATAATACAAATTTTAAACTTTTTTCATGTACAGTAGTTAAAACCCCCTTTTATATCCACTATAAACTAATCTTGGTCAAAATTTCAGGCTTTTATAATTTTTGTAATTATCCTTTAATTTTTATACAAAAATATGATTCCATGCACCATTTGACCCATCTATATCAGCCCCCGTCTGCCTGCAACTGCACATCGGTAAATCAACACCAATCTTATGTTGTTTTTGCACTGAAAAAAAGCTGTACTCTGAACTTTAATACAAAATTGGATAGTGTATCTGTACGGCTGTGGAAGGTACTGTAGGACAATGAGAGGTATTGGAAGAAATCATAATAAAAGCACATGATTGAAAATGTGAGAAAAATACCAGTGAAAATAGAATGTAAAACCTGAGCACTTTCATGTGTTTACACACATCTTCAGAGGAATAGGAATGTGTGTGTAAGCACATGAAAATGCTCAGGTTTTATTTGCTATTTTCACTGTGATACTTTTGTTCATATGGAGTTCTTTGTGTTATATTTATAGCTGTTTAATTCACAAGTTGCTAACACACTAAGATGAATCTTTAGACAACATTCTGGTGTGTAAAATGACAAGTAAATCTCTCAAGCTACTTCTTACTTATACCTTCCTGTGTGTTTCCTAATAGTTATTATTCCTGGGAAATTTGTTTCAAAGTTAGTAGGTCTAGTCTGAGAATAGGCCTTGAGCTTGGAAATTATTAACATACAAGAAACTGGTCTGGCTGGGCCATTATGAAGTCATGACTTGTTGATGGTCCAAAATGGTCTGAAACATTATCTCATGTTTCATTTACAAGAAACTGGTCTGGCTGGGCCATTATGAAGTCATGACTTGTTGATGGTCCAAAATGGTCTGAAACATTACCTCATGTTTCATTTCTAATTTGTGGATTATTTGTGTCATGATTTTATGACATTTGAAAATTAAAGTTTTGATAATTGGCTGTAATTATGTTCCAAGAAGAGTACAAATATTTATTTGAGGTTGAGGTATAAGTAGTTGGGTATACTGTATATAGTCAACTCTTCTAGATATGTGGGACTTAATGTTCCTAAAGGTTTCATGGATCTAGAATTGGCAAATGATGCAAAATTATGTCTGTATAATTTTGATTTGGATTTGGGCTCATTTTGTGTTATGTAGGCTTTTTCTTTATAGCATATTAGCAATCTTTCACCAGGGTAGCATAACCCAAAAATTGGAAACACTTTTGCCATCATTCATTCAGTTGCTGTCTTGCCAAAAGTTTAGTTACATTACCATTTGAATTTGAATGATCTTCTGAACTGCAGCATCTCCACCCCTCCTTCAGAGTGAATGCACTGTAATTCCCACCTCCAGGATTCAAGTCTGACCATCCAGCTTCCCGGAATCTCTTCATAAATGCTACTTTGCTCACACTCCAACAGCACGTCCAGTCATAAAACCCACATGCCTCCGCTCACTCCTATTGAATGCATTCACACAGCCTGCCAGTGATCAAATGTCTACTCGGGTTAATATTAACATGGGTCAAAACGAATTGCCAGAAAGAGAGAAGATCATTGAGCACATTTTAAATTAAATCTTTTGATTGGGTTTGAATCTAGGCGTCTGTTTCCAAGCCATAGAAAATAGGCTCTATAAAAGATGCGTGAATAATTTAAGCATTCACAGGAGGTCCTTCATTATAATGGATAATCAAAACTTACAAATTAGAACACCTGTGGTCTTGGGGGTTCAAGTGTACTGTACACTGATGAATGTTTCAGTTGTTTTTAAGAGAGTTTTAACACAGTGGACACATCTAGTGGTCAACCCATGGCATGGGTGGAGGTTTAAACCCATGACAAGTCAGTCCTAAAATTTCAGGCCAGTGTGTAAGCCTGGTAGAATTACCGACAAAATGTTAGGTAAATGAACACAGGTTCAAGTAATGTGACATTTTATTGTGACATTTCACTCTCCAGGAGCTTTGTCAAGGCTCCTGGAGCTTTGGCAAAACTCCTGGACAAAGCTCTTTGACAAAGCTCCAGATGCAGCAGTTTTGTCAAAGCTCCTGCATCTATGTCCATTTACCTAACAACAGTGCCTAAACAATCATATTATTATTACTTTGTGAGTCAGGAGACATCTAGTGGTCTGTGGCCCTTGAAGGAAGATACCCTTGATGTGGTGAAGGGCTCTTGATCTGGTGAATTAGAGCTACTTCTCCCATTTCCTGGATCAAAATTTATTATCTCCAATTTCCTTAGGTTTTGTACGACCCATATGGGTTTTGCATTACTCATAAATACAGCCTCTCTTCACTTGGCGACATCCTTGTTTACCGACAACTCGGACTTTCGACGGGCTTTTTGACCAGTATGCATACCTAAATAATGTATATTAGAGCTGATTTCCTCTCTTCTGTTTATTACAATATACAGTACACTACTACAATACTTAAAAATATATCAGAAATGTTATAAATGGTGCAAAGGTGACATTAAAACTGTATCGAAGATGGTTGACACAAACCCACTACCATTATAGTTTGCCCCTCACTTAGCAATGAATTCATTTACCGACGTGGTCTTAGGAACGGAACTCCATTGTTAAATGAGAAGAGGCTGTATACAGTAAGGGGCTATGGAGGATTCTGCCACTGTCTCAAGAATGGAAAACTATCAGGGCAAATAAAGCATAAAAATTTAGACAGGAGATATACATAAGAACATAGAAAGAAGGAGCACTGCAACAGGCCTACTGACCCATGCAGAGCAGGTCCATGACCCCCCCATTTAGCCCCATGACCCACCCAGTCTGGTCACCTTCACTCAAGGAAGGAGCACAATGCCAGACCCAGCAGCACAAGCTAGTCAGGTCCAACTCACACCCACCCACACCCACTCATGTATATTTATCTAACCTATTTTTAAAACTACACAACGTTTTAGCCTCAATAACTGTACTCGGGAGTTTATTCCACTCATCCACACCTCTATTACCAAACCAGTGCTTTCCTATATCCTTCCTGAATCTGATTTTTTCCAACTTGAAACCATTGTTGCGAGTCCTGTCTTGGCTGGAAATTTTCAGCACACTATTTACATCCCCTTTATTTATTCCTGTTTTCCATTTATACACCTCGATCATATCCCCCCTAATTCTACGCCTTTCAAGAGAGTGCATATTCAGGGCCCTCAGTCTATCCTCGTAGGGAAGATTTCTGATACATAGGATCATCTTTGTCATCCTCCTCTACACGTTTTCCAGAGCATTTATATCCATTCTGTAATACGGTGACCATAGTCTAAATGAGGCCTAACCAAGGATATATAGAGTTGAAGAACAACCTGAGGACTTCTATTATTTATACTTCTTGATATGAAGCCAAGAATTCTGTTACCTTTATTGCGAACGCTAATGCACTGTTGTCTTGGTTTTAGATTACTGCTAACCAGAACTCCTAAATCCTTTTCGCAAGCAGTAGTATTAAGATCTACATTATTTAGTTTATATGTGGCATGGTTATTTACCTGTCCAATATTTAGAACTTTGCATTTGTCAATATTAAACTGCATCTGCCACTTCTCCGACCATTGCATCAGTCTATTCAAATCGTCCTGGAGTGCTCTAGTGTCCTCATTAGAATGAATCGGACGGCCTATTTTGGTGTCATCAGCAAATTTGCTTATGTCGCTATTTATTTCCTCATCTATATCGTTTATGTAAAGTGTGAAAAACAGTCATTATATCAGTGTTATATAATGCCTACAAAATACAAATAATCAGCACATAGGAGAATTAAATTTATGACGACATTTCAGGGGAAGGAAGGAGGGGTAGGGGTCGTCCTCGAAAGGGTTGGAGAGAGGGGGTAAAGGAGGTTTTGTGGGCAAGGGGCTTGGACTTCCAGCAAGCGTGCGTGAGCGTGTTAGATAGGAGTGAATGGAGACGAATGATACTTGGGACCTGACGATCTGTTGGAGTGTGAGCAGGGTAATATTTAGTGAAGGGATTCAGGGAAACCGGTTATTTTCATATAGTCGGACTTGAGTCCTGGAAATGGGAAGTACAATGCCTGCACTTTAAAGGAGGGGTTTGGGATATTGGCAGTTTGGAGGGATATGTTGTGTATCTTTATACGTATATGCTTCTAAACTGTTGTATTCTGAGCACCTCTGCAAAAGCAGTGATAATGTGTGAGTGTGGTGAAAGTGTTGAATGATGATGAAAGTATTTTCTTTTTGGGGATTTTCTTTCTTTTTTTGGGTCACCCTGCCTCGGTGGGAGACGGCCGACTTGTTGAAAAAAAAAAAAAAAAAAATTCAGTCCGACTAGTTAATAGTCCAATGTCATCTTAAGTTTCTTTCTCCTATGTGCGGGTTATTTATGTATTGTTCCAGTCATAGTATTGTGCCTTTTTATTCTTTAATGCCCACAAGTTGTTGAATTAGACACGTGTGCAACACCAGAGGTATCTGTAAATCGCAGTGTGTAGAGGTAGCTGGTATAGGACAATTTACCTTCTCTGTGATGACTGAGTTGAATGGCATGGTAACCCAGAGCCTGGGCACCCAGTGTTTCTATCATAGTGGCCTAGTGGACAAAGGCATCGAGGATTTTACCTTGCTTCCCGGGAGGCAGGTTAAAATAGCTTGGGTTTGATCCCTAGCTGGTTGCAGTATTATAAATGATCTCTATATTGAATTGATAAAGCCAATGGTTGGGAAATCATTTCCAAAATAGATACCCAGGAGTTGGATGTGTATGGTTGTCAAACCCTTCATGATAGTTCATCCTTAGCTTTGACTCATCCTTCAGCTTAAGTTACACATGTCAGTTAGCTTCTCCTTTGCATGAAAGGTGAGAAACCACATGGACCAAAAAAAAAAAAAAAATGAAACTGGTAAAGGTGATCTGCATTTTTTAGCCTCTAAGAGAGATCTAATTTCAGCAGATCTGCTGTAGAGGACCTCTCAGTGAGACTGAAATATGTGGATTTTTTTTTTTTAAATTTTCAATCCAAGTAGTTTCTCTCGTCGATTGGTGTTTATGGCACTTTCCTACATCAGGGACTTTTGTATAGTGGACTTCAGAGATTTTTTTTTTTTTTTTTTTTATTATCACACCGGCCGATTCCCACCAAGGCAGGGTGGCCCGAAAAAGAAAAACTTTCACCATCATTCACTCCATCACTGTCTTGCCAGAAGGGTGCTTTACACTACAGTTTTTAAACTGCAACATTAACACCCCTCCTTCAGAGTGCAGGCACTGTACTTCCCATCTCCAGGACTCAAGTCCGGCCTGCCGGTTTCCCTGAATCCCTTCATAAATGTTACTTTGCTCACACTCCAACAGCACGTCAAGTATTAAAAACCATTTTGTTCTCCATCACTCCTATCAAACACCTCACGCATGCCTCTGGAAGTCCAAGCCCCTCGCACACAAAACATCCCCCTTTACCCCCTCCCTCAACCCTTCCTAGCCGACCCCTACCCCGCCTTCCTTCCATAACAGACTGATACACTCTTGAAGTCATTTGTTTCGCTCCATTTCTCTCTACATTGTCCGAAACCACCTCAAACCCTTCCTCAGCCCTCTGGACAACAGTTTTGGTAATCCCGCACCTCCCCCTAACTTCCAAACTACGAATTTCTGCATATATTACACCAAAACATTGCCTCAGACATGACCATCTCCACTGCCTCCAGCCTTCTACCTCGCTGCAACATTCATCACCCACGCTTCACACCCTATAAGAGCGTTTGGGAAAAACTAATCCTCATACATTCCCCTCTTTGCCTCCAGAGGACAAGTTCTTTGTTTCCACAGACCCTAAGTGCACCACTCACTCTTTTCCCTCATCAATTCTATGAAATCACCTCAATCTTTCATAGACATCCGCTGACAAGTCCACATCCAAATATCTGAATACGTTCACCTCCTCCAACTCTCTCCCTCCAATCTGATATTCAATCTTTCATCACCTAATCTTTTTGTTATCCTCATAACCTTACTCTTTCCTGTATTCACCTTTAATTTTCTTCTTTTGCACACCCTACCCAAATTCATCCACCAATCTCTGCAACTTCTCTCAGAATCTCCCAAGAGCACAGTGTCATCACAAAGAGCAGCTGTGACAACTCCCACTTTGTGTGTGATTCTTTATCTTTTAACTCCACGCCTCTTCCCAAAAAACCCTCGCATTTACTTCTCTTACAACCCCATCTATAAATATATTAAACAACCACGGGGGACATCACACATCCTTGTCTAAGGCCTACTTTTACTGGAAAAAATTTCCCTCTTTCCTAATACTCTAACTTGAGCCTCACTATCCTCGTAAAAACTTTTCACTGCTTTCAGTAAACCTACCTCCTACACCATACACTTGCAACATCTGCCACATTGCCCCCCTATCCACCCTGTCATACCCCTTTTTCCCAAATCCATAAATGCCACAAAGACCTTTTTACCCTTTATCTAAATACTGTTCACTTATGTTTCACTGTAAACACCTGGCCCAAACACACCCCCTACCTTCCTAAAGCCTCCTTGTTCATCTGCTATCCTATTCTCCGTCTTACTCTTAATTCTTTCAATTATAACTCTACCATACATTTTAAACCAGGTACACTCAACAGACTTATCCCCCTATAATTTTTTGCACTCTCTTTTATTCCCCTTTGCCTTTATACAAAGGAACTATGCATGCTCTCTCCCAATCCCTGGGTACCTTACCCTCTTCCATACATTTATTAAAAAATTGCACCAACCACCCAAAACTATATCCCCACCTGCTTTTACATTTCTATCTTTATCCCATCAATCCCGGCTTCCTTTAAACCCCTTTCATTTTACCTACTGCCTCACGAACTTCCCCCCACACTCACAACTGGCTCTTCCTACTCCTACAAGATGTTATTCCTCCTTCCCCCTATACACGAAATCACAGCTTCCCTATCTTAAATCAACATTTAAACAATTCCTCAAAAAATTCCTTCCATCTTCCCAATACCTCTAACTCTCCTTTTAATAACTCTCCTCTCCTATTTTTAACTGACAAATCCATTTGTTCTCTAGGCTTTCTTAACTTGTTAATCTCCTCCAAAACTTTTTCTTATTTCAACAAAATTTGTGATAACATCTCACCCACTCTCTCATTTGCTCTCTTTTTACATTGCTTCAAACCCCTCTCTTAACTTCTCTCTTTTTCTCCCCTATACTCTTCCCTCCTTGCATCACTTCTACTTTGTAAAAACTTCTCATATGCTAACTTTTTCTCCCTTACTACTCTCTTTACATCATCAAATTTCCCCCAATCGCTCCTCCCTTTCCCCCCTGCACCCACTTTCCCCTTAACCAAAAAACTTCTGCTGAACACTCTAACACTACATTTTTAAACCTACCCCATACCTCTTCGACCCCATTGCCTATGCTCTCATTAGCCCATCTATCCTCCAATAGCTGTTTATAAACTTACCCTAACTGCCTCCTCTTTTTGTTTATAAAACCTTCACCTCTCTCTTCCCTGATGCTTCTATTCTCCTTGTATCCCATCTACCTTTTACTCTCAGTAAAGCTACAACTAGAAAGTGATCTGATATACTGGGCCCCTCTATAAACATGTACATCCTGAAGTCTACTCAACAGTCTTTTATCTACCAATACATAATCCAACAAAACTACTGTCATTTCGCCCTACATCATATCGTGTATACTTATTTATCCTCTTTTTCTTAAAAAATGTATTACCTATAACTAAACCCCTTTCTATACAAAGTTCATCAAAGGGCTCCCCTTATCATTTACACCTGGCACCCCAAACTTACCTACCACACCCTCTCTAAAAGTTTCTCCTACTTTAGCATTCAAGTCCCCTACCACAATTACTCTCTCACTTGGTTCAAAGGCTCCTATACATTCACTTAACATCTCCCAAAATCTCTCTCTCTCCTCTGCATTCCTCTCTTCTCCAGGTGCATACACGCTTATTATGACCCACTTCTCGCATCCAACCTTTACTTTAATCCACATAATTCTTGAATTTACACATTCATATTCTCTTTTCTCCTTCCATAACTGATCATTTAACATTACTGCTACCCCTTCAGAGATACAGAAGAAAATCTTCTGGCATACCATATTTTATGGCGAACAAGACGCTGCAGTGTTGAGGATGCTCCCCCAATTCTGATGGTCTAAATTTTGGAAAAAAAGATAAGTGGTATCCATGGTAATAACATTATGTTAAGCCAGAGTCATTACTTGTAAAAACACGTGTTGATGGTTCGTTCTGCACTTGTGTAAAACTGACTTATTATGGGAAAAATAACGTCTTTGATGCCATAAAATACGGTAATTGATTCGGAAATGACAGACAAAGCCCATTGTTTTCAGAATTCTCCACTGTTGTAACATCACGGCAAAATAATCTCTAACCACAACACTTGCCATTACCATCCCTCTTGCTCCCCCATTATTTTTATAGCCAGGGTTTACTTTATTTTATATTTTACCAAAGCATTAGTGGCACTGAAAAAATCTCATTTTGTATTTTTTCTTTTTTTTTCCAGTTCATTCCGAGACAGTACCTGCACGGATCAAGAGCTTCCTGCTGGCATGGCTGGGGATGAACTCAATGAATTCAATGGTATAGACAAAATCTTTGAAGGTACCACGTCTTTCGTCCCTGTCTCCTCTCTGCCTTTACGCTTTGTTTCTGCCACCTCAAACTTGCCTGACATAGAAGATTTTAGAGAATTGATTATTGTATACCGAGACGTGATCTGTGTCTGCTGTTGCTGCACCATTTAAATACTTAATACAGGAGGGCCCTGCATATACAGCACTCTCAGGAGGCCCCTGCATATACAGCACTCTCAGGAGGCCCCTGCATATACAGCACCCTCAGGAGGTCCCTGCATATACAGCACCCTCAGGAGGCCCCTGCATATACAGCACCCTCAGGAGGCCCCTGCATATACAGCACCCTCAGGAGGCCCTGCATATACAGCACCCTCAGGAGGGTCCTGCATATACAGCACCCTCAGGAGGGCCCTGCATATACAGCACTCTCAGGATCCCCCTGCATATACAGCACCTTCAGGAGGCCCCTGCATATACAGCACCCTCAGGAGGCCCCTGCATATACAGCACCCTCAGGAGGCCCCTGCATATACAGCACCCTCAGGAGGGTCCTGCATATACAGCACCCTCAGGAGGGCCCTGCATATACAGCACTCTCAGGAGGCCCCTGCATATACAGCACCCTCAGGAGGCCCCTGCATATACAGCACCCTCAGGAGGCCCCTGCATATACAGCACCCTCAGGAGGCCCCTGCATATACAGCACCCTCAGGAGGCCCCTGCATATACAGCACTCTCAGGAGGCCCCTGCATATACAGCACCCTCAGGAGGGCCCTGCATATACAGCACCCTCAGGAGGCCCCTGCATATACAGCACCCTCAGGAGGCCCCTGCATATACAGCACCCTCAGGAGGGTCCTGCATATACAGCACCCTCAGGAGGGCCCTGCATATACAGCACACTCAGAAGGCCCCTGCATACACAGCACCCTCAGGAGGCCCCTGCATATTCAGCACCCTCAGGAGGGTCCTGCATATACAGCACCCTCAGGAGGTCCCTGCATATACAGCACCCTCAGGAGGGCCCTGCATATACAGAACCCTCAGGAGGCCCCTGCATATACAGCACCCTCAGGAGGCCCCTGCATATACAGCACCCTCAGGAGGCCCCTGCATATACAGCACCCTCAGGAGGCCCCTGCATATACAGCACCCTCAGGAGGCCCCTGCATATACAGCACCCTCAGGAGGCCCCTGCATATACAGCACCCTCAGGAGGCCCCTGCATATACAGCACCCTCAGGAGGCCCTGCATATACAGCACCCTCAGGAGGGCCCTGCATATACAGCACCCTCAGGAGGCCCCTGCATATACAGCACCCTCAGGAGGCCCCTGCATGTACAGCACCCTCAGGAGGCCCCTGCATGTACAGCACCCTCAGGAGGGCCCTGCATGTACACCCTCAGGAGGGCCCTGCATGTACAGCACCCTCAGGAGGGCCCTGCATATACAGCACCCTCAGGAGGGCCCTGCATATACAGCACCCTCAGGAGGCCCCTGCATATACAGCACCCTCAGGAGGCCCCTTCATATACAGCACCCTCAGGAGGCCCCTGCATATACAGCACCCTCAGGAGGCCCCTGCATATACAGCACCCTCAGGAGGCCCCTGCATATACAGCACCCTCAGGAGGCCCCTGCATATACAGCACCCTCAGGAGGCCCCTGCATATACAGCACCCTCAGGAGGCCCCTGCATATACAGCACCCTCAGGAGGGCCCTGCATATACAGCACCCTCAGGAGGGCCCTGCATATACAGCACCCTCAGGAGGGCCCTGCATATACAGCACCCTCAGGAGGGCCCTGCATATACAGCACCCTCAGGAGGGCCCTGCATATACAGCACCCTCAGGAGGCCCCTGCATATACAGCACACTCAGGAGGCCCCTGCATATACAGCACACTCAGGAGGGCCCTGCATATACAGCACCCTCAGGAGGGCCCTGCATATACAGCACCCTCAGGAGGCCCCTGCATATACAGCACCCCCAGGGGACCCCTGCATATACAGCACCCCCAGGAGGCCCCTGCATATACAGCACCCCCAGGAGGCCCCTGCATATACAGCACCCCCAGGAGGGCCCTGAATATACAGCACCCCCAGGAGTCCCCTGCATATACAGCACCCTCAGGAGGGCCCTGCATATACAGCACCCTCAGGAGGCCCCTGCATGTACAGCACCCTCAGGAGGGCCCTGCATATACAGCACCCCCAGGAGTCCCCTGCATATACAGCACCCTCAGGAGGGCCCTGCATATACAGCACCCTCAGGAGGCCCCTGCATATACAGCACCCTCAGGAGGGCCCTGCATATACAGCACCCTCAGGAGGCCCCTGCATATACAGCACCCTCAGGAGGGCCCTACATATATAGCACCCTCAGGAGGACCCTGCATATACAGCACCCTCAGGAGGGCCCTGCATATATAGCACCCTCAGGAGGGCCCTGCTTATACAGCACCCTCAGGAGGACCCTGCTTATACAGCACCCTCAGGAGGCCCCTGCATATACAGCACCCTCAGGAGGGCCCTGCATATACAGCACCCTCAGGAGGCTCCTGCATATACAGTACCCTCAGGAGGGCCCTACATATATAGCACCCTCAGGAGGACCCTGCATATACAGCACCCTCAGGAGGGCCCTGCATATACAGCACCCTCAGGAGGGCCCTGCATATATAGCACCCTCAGGAGGGCCCTGCATATACAGCACCCTCAGCAGGCCCCTGCATATACAGCACCCTCAGGAGGGCCCTGCATATACAGCACCCTCAGGAGGGCCCTGCATATACAGCACCCTCAGGAGGGCCCTGCATATACAGCACCCTCAGGAGGCCCCTGCTTTTACAACACCTCTTTGGTATTCCACATTTTTGTTGGCATCAAATTGAGCCATTGTTCCACCCACCAGCAATTTTTGCAGGCAGGTGGAACAATGGCTCGGTTGAAAGCCAACAAAAATGTGGAACACTGCTAAGAGGCTCTGTACATGCAGGGCCCCACTGTAATTGTTTAGTTCCCCATTCATGAGATGTTCCTTAATGCTTGTCAAGGGCTCTTAGTGCAAGGAATTAGTCTCCATTTTCTTGGATCACAATTCCTCAGGTGCGGTATGACCCTTATGGTTAGAGCACTTCCCTGTGAATTTGAAAATAATAATAATTAGTATGTAATGATTCAAGATGAATAAGTTTGACTTGCTTTTAACGTTGGTGATAAGTCTGTGCTGGAAACTGAAAATAAGTCAAAATATTGTGAATATCCCCCCAAAAAATATGGTCATAGATTGGTAATTAAAGTAGTTTAAAGTTACACAGTATTAAGATGACTTTATAAAATCATTAGATTTAGCTCTTTGTCTAGTATCATCTAAACTGCATGAGTTTTATTTATGATTTAATAATCTTTAAAAAATGCTAGAGTACGTTAGCCTAGTCTTTGTCGTATATCATTGTTTTGTATTATAGTTGTGTGTATAACTTGAGCAAATAAAACGACTCGGTCTGGGATGGCAAAATATTCTAGCGAAAGAATTTTAGGAACTTTCATGAGACAATGGTCAGGGTCACTATGTTCGCTGGTAAGGTCACCACTGACGTTTTAAACGTCTTGTTTCCTGTTGCGACCAAGATCGTGGTGGATGTAATTTCTTTCCCTTGCATTAGATCTCTTGAATTAGTATTTGCATGGGAATTATATATTTTTAAGTACCTTTTTTGTACTGTAGATTAAAGATTTAATCTTTTAATAAATTTGAAGTAGAAAGATATGAAAGGCAAAAATTTCCTTGAAACCTGATGTGTGCAACAGTTATTTTATGATTGGTAGTTACATTATTACAGTAAATTACCCTGCTTTGGTGGGAAATGGCCGACGAGTTTCAAAATTACACTTAAAATACAACTGTATGCTACTATACTGAGCACTTCTTAAGACAACAGGCAAGTTCCTTGAGCTTTTGGTATTAGCTTATGGCCTCTGCTATTTTCTTCTTTTCTTACTGTTCTCTGTGTGTGTTATTCTCTGGTATTTACCTCATCAATCTAAACCAAGTTTGTTCCATAAGATTTTGTGATGAATTAGACATGCATGCAACACTCGTGTAGATAAATAGTTCAGAGAACTGACAAGATGATACATTAGATAGGTGCAACACTTGGATGTTACACATGGGTAATCAGTCCCTCAGCTGAGTGACTGATTATCTCAAACTCCTTAAGATATTCAACCATTCTTCTTTGTATTGGACTGATGAAGCCAGTGTGTAGCAAAATATTTCTACAATAAAGATAGTCAAGTGCTGTACATATGTCAAATTTATCAACTTGTTGCACAAATAACCCGCACATAAAAGAGAGAAGCTTACGACGACGTTTCGGTCCGACTTGGACCATTGACAAAGTCACACTAATAGAGGTGGAGCAGGACGGCTATATATAGGCAGGAAGAGGTGCTCCACCTCTGTTAGTGTGACTTTGTCAATGGTCCAAGTCGGACCGAAACATTGTCGTAAGCTTCTCTCTTTTATGTGCGGGTTATTTGTGTATCGTTCCAGTCACGGTATTGTGCCTTTTTGTTATTTATCAACTTGTTGGTTCTCTGAACCATTTATCTACCTAAGTTTTCATCAAGCTTTTCTCATTATTGTTTTCTCAGACAAATTAAGATATCATATATTGTACCTTGGTTATGTTGGTGAGGGTTTGTACTGGGGAGTAAAAGTCACAATATTGTGACTGCAACAATTCACAACTAACTCACAATGTTAAGGGAGATTTTAGATGCTACATTCAACCATCAAATCTAATGGAAATAAAAACTGGTAGCAGGGATTAATTTTATTATAGCATTTGACATCCAGTAGGTAAGTGTGGGCGTGCTAGATGGGAGTGAGTGGAGACAAATGGGTTTTAGGGCTTGGCGAGCTGTTGGAGTGTGAGCAGGGTAATATTTTGTGAAGGGATTCGGGGAAAGCAGTTAGCTGGACTTGAGTCCTGGAGGTGGGAAGTACAGGGTCTGT